GCAGTAAGACTCTGGGAAATGGGCTCTGTGTTTACATCAGCAACAGCTGGTGTAAAAAAGCTAGATCGGTCGCCAGCTTCTGCTCTCCAGACATCGAGTTTCTAACTGTTAACTGCAGGCCGTTCTATCTGCGCAGAGAGTTCAGTGTGGTTAGCATCACTGTTGTTTATGTGTCTCCCAGTGCTAACACTAAAGAGGCCATGAAGACTCTATACCAGGCTATCTCTGAGCTCCAATCTGCACACAGAGGGTGTTTTCATCACTGCTGGGGATTTTAACCAGGCTAATTTGAAGACTATTCTCCTTCATTTTTACCAACATGTTGACTTTGCAACTCGGGGTGAAAACATTTTAGACCTGTTTTACTCTAACGTCAAAGATGCATTCAGAGCAGCCCCCCCACCCCCACCTTGGGTCATCAAATCATCTCTCGGTAATTCTTATCCCTGCATATAAGCCCCAGCTGATCAGAGCTAAACCGACAGTAAAAGAGGTCCGAGTGTGGTCCGAGGGCGCCATGGAAATACTCCAATACTGTTTTGAATGCTCTGACTGGAACATCTTCAAGGCTGCAGCAACGTATGACAACTTATTAAATATTGATGAGTATGCCATGACTGTGTCAGCCTACATCAACAAATGCATTGAGGATGTCAGCATCAAAAAGAACATCAAAACCCGGGCCAACCAGCCACCCTGGATAAATGGAAAGGTTCGGAAATCGCTAAAAGTACGGAACTCAGCTTTCAACGCTGGTGATAAAACGGCACTGAGAACAGCGCGTACCGACTTAAACCGTGCCATCAGATCAGCGAAGCAAAACCACAGCCAGAAGATCCAGGATCTTTTCCACAACGACAGCAACACAAGGAGGATGTGGAAAGGCATTCGGATGATCACAGACTACAATACAACACCCCCAAAAAAATGGGTTATTTTATTTATTAAAATAAAAAATAAAATGTTAGAACTGTAAATTTACAGTCATATGTTTATATTACTATTTTTTTATGTATTTATTACTGTTTTCAAGGCTGCACCTTAAAAAATGAAATTGTCTGGCGCTGTTTTAAATGAAATTTCTTTTGTGTATACAAAATAACAAAATATACTAAGTCTCTAAGTCTAATTTTTGGTTGCTTATAGAGCAATTTGGTTTTTGTTCAAAATTTTGTCCTTAACTACCTAGTCTTTATAAAATAGTTTCCCT